CCCGTCCGGAGCAGCGAACCTCAGTCAAGTCAGTCACTCAGTCAGTCAGTCACTCAGTCAAGGGAGACCGAACCGCGAGTCCTAAGGTCGAGCGCTGTCCCTCCAGTCGCCTTGGTCCTCGAGGCTCGACCCGATCGCCGCTCGCTTCCTGGAGGCTCACGCGCCCCGCAGTCGCCGCCCTCGCCCCCTCCCTCCACAGGACTCCGGGAGCCTTCGCCATGGGGGCCTTGTTGACCCGGCTCCTCAGCCTGATCCAGAGCTCTCGCTCCTGCAGGATCCTCATGGGTGAGTGGGCGGCGAGGGATCCTCGCCCGACTCCTGCCGGCGCCTTTGCTTGCTCCTCAGAGGCCGGTGGCGGGCGGTCGAGTCCTTCTCGGCGTTCGCTTCGACGGGAAGGAAAAGACTTGGTGACAGCAGTTGGGAAATGCGAATGAAAACATCTGTCGAGTCTTTTAATTCTACAGTTATTGCGCTTAATGATATTGTTGTTGTTTCTTGTAGAAAAGGCGCGAGTGAGCATGATTAATATTCGTCAGAAATACATTTATTTCTGACGAAGACATATTCGAAACCGGTTAATTACATCTCTTGTATGTGAAGATATTTATTCTCATACATACCCTTACATTTGTAAAATGAATGCGGCTCATCTTTGTTATTACTATCGCCATTGTCTTTATTGCTTTTGTTATTCCTGTTGTTATTATTTCCTTTTGCCATGATCATTATTGGCGTTCTTATCATATTTCTTTCTCTTCTCATCATAATCCCGCCTCTTTCCCGCAGTCGGTCTGGACGCCGCAGGGAAGACCACCATTCTCTACAAGCTGAAGTTGGGCGAAGTTGTGTCCACGATTCCCACCATCGGTAAGGCTCCTTCTGCTGCGGAGACGAGGCAGCGGGACTCGGGAAGCAGAACCAGGGGCTTCCTTAAATAGAAATGATTGGTGTGTTCATTCCTGTGCACGGGACACAGGGAAACAGGGCCAGGGGGTTTCTTTGAATAGAAATCATTAGTATATTCATTCCTGTGTATTTTTTTTTCTTTTTTTTGTAAATTAATATGGAAAGCATAAACGTTTATGAACCATTACATCACAATCTTAGTTCCTGGTATGAAATTGTGTGCCAACACATTTTGCCAAATATAAATGCAATTGCACTTGTGATTCATTATTTCACCTTCCTCTCCGAAGGCGATTTATGCAATTAACAGCAACAAAAAGCAATAGCATTACACAACCCCCCCCCCAGGCTTCAACGTGGAGACCGTCGAGTACAAGAACATCAGCTTCACCGTCTGGGACGTGGGCGGCCAGGTCAAGCTGCGCCCTCTGTGGAGGCACTACTACCAGAACACCGCCGCCGTCGTCTACGTGGTGGACAGCAGCGACGCCGAGAGGCTGCAGGAGGCCAGGGAGGAGCTGGACGCCATCGTGAGTGTTGGGGACGACCCCGGAGGAGGCCTTCCTCCTCTCGTCCTCTCCTGTTCCTCGTTCCGTCTCCCACTGATTTATCAATTGACTTGAATTTCGATCCTTTTCGCTTCCTATCTCCTCACTCACCTCCCTCTCCCCCCCCCCCCAGCTGGAGAGCGATGAGGTGGCGGGGGTTCCCCTGCTGGTGGTGGCCAACAAGCAGGACCTTCCCGGGGCGCTGTCCGTGCAGCAGCTGAGCGAGGGCCTCGACCTGCGGCGCCACGACAGGCCCTGGCACGTGCAGCCCACGTGCGCCATCACGTCGGAGGGCGTGTACGAGGCCCTGGACTGGCTGGCCAGGGAGCTGGCCTAGTGAGGCTGGCCAGGGAGGCCAAGCGAGGCACGAACGACTCGCGCAGGAGCACAGGGACGCCCGGGGCCTCGCCACACGCGGCTGGGCCGCAGCGAGGACACGGCAGAGGGATCCGAACAGTGGTCGAGTCGAACACATGGACGCCTTCGAAGTCACAGATGAACTTTCGAAACAGTCACAAGATCAAAAGATGGACCTTAGAGAAATCATGAGGAAGAAAATGCGGGTTTCACGAAGAAAGTTCAATTTAATTCTCAGTTTTATTTTTCAAATGACTCGTGCCACTGTAAAGGCAATGCACTTGCAAAATCACAAAATGAACAATGTAGAAGTGAAGTTGCAGAAAACACGTTTCGCCAACACTTAAAAGCAATCGCACTTCGCATTCTTCCTCTCTTCTCCCACAGTGTGAGACATTAGCGATGAGGACTTCCCATCCACGTAGTCGCTGAGGGAATATTTTGGCAACATGATTATTTTTATATTTACGTCTCGTTTCATTTTCTCCTTTTGGAACTGTTCACCACTCGTTTTTCGTCGATACACACGTCGAGAGATACACACACATTTATATATATATATATATATATATATATATATATATATATATATATATATATATATATTATATAGATAGATAGATAGATAGATATAGATATAAATAAACAGAAAGGCAGATATAGATACATATTGATGTAAATGAGAGGTA